CCCCGAGCCCCGGGCCAGCTGCGGCCTCGAGTCTGTTTTCCTCCCTCCCGCCCCAAACTGCTGCGTGTGTGTGTTTTCCCGGCTTCCTCACGGAAGGGAAGGCATCCTCCCTTCTTGGCTGCCGGCTCCCAGGGTCGTGACCCGGGCCCCACCCTGGAGTGGCAGCCCCAGCCCGGCCCCTTCCAGCCGTGACCTCATCCCCAGCCTGTCCTCTTCTGCGCACGGGGCCTGCTGGGGATTGGACCGGCCTCGGGGTGAGGGGGACAGTCGGGGCCCACGGGGGGCACCCTCCGCCTGGGACAGGGGCTGCTGAGGGGCCCTGGGGGCCCTTTCCAGGTGGCCGTGCCACCCGCTGGCTCCTCTCTCCTCTCCAGAGAGCCAGCCCAGGCGCCAGCCACCGGCCTTCCCAGGGCCCCTCGAGGCTCTTTCTCCTACACACGTTGGTGTGTGCCTTCGCCTGCCCCTCGTTTTCTGCTCATTTCCCCCCACAAGCCTCTCCGAGAATGTCACAGATGTTTTATTTCCCAGGTGGGGAAACTGAGGCTCAGAGAGATGAAGCGCTTGCCCGGGGGCCACAGAGAGAGTTTACAGGAGAGCGGGGTCTGGGACCCAGGCCTCTGGCTTGCAGGCCGCAGCGGTGCCAGCAGCACCTCACGCTACGAGGGCATCGGGGGCACCAAGGCCACTTCTTCCAGGCAGCCCTCCAGGGCCTCTTCCCTCGGTGGGGACGGGTCTTATTCCCCACCCTTCGAGGACCTGGGTGGGGTCTGACACGCATTTGTACTACTGACAGCACCTGGCTCGGGTCACAGCAGAGGAGATGCTAAGTTGTGTTTTGTGTTGTTTTCATTGAAGAGAGAGCGGAAGGGGGAAGAGAGAGAAAGAAAGACATCGATTTGTTGTTCCACCTATTTGTGCATTCATCGGCCGATGCTTGTATCGCCCTGACCAGGGATCAAACCCGCAACCTTGGGGTATCGGGACGATGCGCTGACCAAGTGAGCTGCCTGCCTGGTCAGGGCAGGCTAAGGGCTTTTTCGACGCACTCTGTCATTCCCAAAAGCCGTCCGTGCCAAAGCTATCGAAGGGAGAGAAGGTGTAGCGCCTGGAAGTTTGAAGCGTGGACTTCAGCCTCAGTCGGAGCCGCGTTGGAGGTTTGGCTCTGCCCGTTGTGAGCTGGGTGTGACCCTGGGGAAGTTCTCACCTCCTGGCCTCAGTCTCTTCATCTGTAAAATGGGAATTAGGGGGCCGACACCAGGGGTTTGCTGTGAGGGTTCGGGGCTCAGCGCAGTTCTGGGCGCCCTGCGAGCCCTCTACCCGTCGGCATGGGTCCTCACCCCCTCCCTGTGACACAGGGGTTCCCTGTTCCCATTGAACAGATGATGAGAAAACGTGGGAGCACTCCAGGGTCGAGGGGGGACAGCTGGGCAGGAGAGAGACCTGTCCACCCTCTTCTGATGGACAATGGAGGCAAGACACCCCGACAGCCTCCAGCCTCAGGGGGGGCCTCAGAAAAAATGAGAGGGGTCGTGGGGGGGCTGGCATGGCAGTGTGTCCACTCCCCCCCCGCCCCCCATGTGCCATCCTGGCCCCTGACCACCGCCTCCCCAGCCTGGGCTGAGGTCCGTGGCTGAGCCGACCTCGCCGCCCCCAGCCGCTGATTCACCCCCGGGGCCCCCTCTGACAAGGAAGGAGACGGAGCTCAGCTCAGAGGGGCTTGAATCACCAGCCGCCCCCTGTGGAGCCCCAGGGGGTGCGGGGGCGGGGGCCAGCCCCCTGCCTGTCTGTCTGTCTCTTTCCTGAACCCCCGGGGCACTCAGGGTAGAGGGCAGCCTGTCCGTGGCCATGGGCAGAAGGTGGCAGGGAGGCACCCTGACAGCCAGGCATCCTGTGTGGGCAGCCAGCCGCGGTTAGTCACCAGGTGAGCAGCTTTTTGGGCATCGGGGAATTCCCCACGACCAGTGACCCAGAAACTGAGCGCTCGGGCGAGCCCCGCTGCCCAGGCGGCCCCCCTCCCGTCCTCAGCGTCTCCCTCCCCTGTGCCCAGCGCAGGTCTCAGTTCTCTGAAAGCCCAGCCGGCCGCGGCTCTCAGCCACCAGCTCAACCCCGGCCCCTACCGTGCTGTCCCCGCCTGGGAAATGAGTAAGGAAATCAGAAGGTGGCCCCGGGGGAGGCTGGGGGGCCGGAGAGGCAGCCAGGAGCTCAGTCATGCCTGGCACAGTCCTGGAAGTTGGGTGTCTTATCCCAAGAGGCAAAAGCACCTCCCTCTTCAGCACTCAGAAATGAGGGCGTAACTACACCGCTGGCCCCTCACCTCCCCCCCACGGCACCATGGAACCCTCCACGCACCGTCGTGGACTTTCCTGGGGCCCTGGCTCAGTTCTGCAGGTCAGCTTTGGGGCGAGGCTGGTGATGGTGCCCATGGGGGAGGGTGTGGCTTGGAGCCAGGTAAACGTGGGTTCAAGTCCTTGTCCACACCATTTCCGAGTGGTGAGGCCTGGAGCAACAGGCTTTCTCTCTCTAAGCCTCCACGGGGGATTGTCGTAGGGACAAACTCACAGACTGTCGTGAGGATGTTAAATGGGAAAGACAGATAAAGTGCCTAACACGTGATAGCCACTCTAACACCCGATAGCCATTCTAACACGTGATAGCCCCTCTAACACGTGATAACCATTCTAACACGCATAGCCCCTCTAACACGTGATAGCCACTCTAACACGTGATAGCCACTCTAACACGTGATAGCCACTCTAACACGTGATAGCCATTCTAACATGTGATAGCCCCTCTAACACGTGAAAGCCACTCTAACACGTGATAGCCACTCTAACACCTGATAGCCCCTCTAACACGTGATAGCCATTCTAACACGCATAGCCCCTCTAACACGTGATAGCCACTCTAACCCGTGAAAGCCACTCTAACCCGTGATAGCCCCTCTAACACGTGACAGCCACTCTAACCAGGGTTTGGGTGGCCACGGGAAGGACTTGAGCTGGGCGGGCGTCCAGGGGTCAGGGCACCACCTGAGGTCTGAGAGTTTGGCCAGGGAGGCCTCCTGGTCCTCTCGGTGCAGAGCATGGGGGGCGGGCGTGAGGGCGCAGGCAGCCCCGCAGAGCCTCAGCCAGGGCATAAGCAATGTTTCCCCCCTCGGGGCCCTGGAGAGCCCGCTGTCTTTGGGGTTCTTCAGGCCCAGGCTCGGGGCCTATTGTTCACCCGTCTCAGCCTCACTCCATCAAATCTCTGGCCGGGACCAGTTACACGCCCTGGGGCCAAGGAAGTTCCCGAAGCTGCCCTGGTCTCCTGCCAGCTGCCCCCAGCATTTCCCGGCTGGTTCTGCACTAGGGATCAGCCCGGAAGGTGAATCAGAGCGGCTGCCTTCTCTCTCCTTCAATTCTGATAGAAACGGTGAGGGAAGCAGCAGCCGGGGGGCTTCCATCACTGGCGGAGCCGGAGGCCGGGCTCCAGGGCCATGCTCTGCCCTCAGTGTCCCCATCTGTAGAATGGGTCGCTCTCCTCACCGTTCACCCATCAGCACTTAGCGGATGGGGCCTGTCTGCCTCTGCCAGCACTTTGACCCCCTCCGGGCTCTCCCTGAGCCTCACACTAGCCCGAGGCTGCAGGAGGCCAAGGTCGAGAGTGACCTTTTCACACCATGTTGAGGGTTGCCGCTGGAGATTTTGAAAGGAGATGGAATCACAAAGTCAGCCGGCATTGCCTGGGGCGAGGGCCAGCTCTGCCTCCTGACGCTTTTCTTTCCGCTGCTGCCCGGATGTGTCAGCGTGGGCATCATCCTCGGGTTGCGAGGTGCAATGTGTTTCTAACTGTGGGTCGTGGTCAAACCGTGTGTGAGCCGCCCGGTATCGATGATGACAGCCAGGCCCCGAGGGACCGAGGAGCGACTTGCCTAAGGTCACTCGGCAGCGGGCAGCGTGGGGCTCCTGGCTCGCATCTCAGCTGCCACCCCTCGCAGCTGCGGCATGAATGGGCCTGAGGTTCTGTGGGTGGGGTGTGGCGGGCAGGTGCTCCTGGGGGCGGGGCTGGCATCACCTTATGTGGGGACAGAGGCCCTCCCAGGGCCCAGCCCCTCACTGTCCACTCCCTTTTGTAGCCTCAGACCGCCGCCCCCCCCCCCCAGCTCCCCTCCCTGCCCGGCCCTACCCGGGTGAAGCACAGGGTAGT